TGTGAATGTCCAAATATAAACTCATTAAACAGGGTGTGTTCAGGCATATGACTAAGCAATTACTAGATAATCGGGCATGTACATAAAGGTACTGTGTTGTTACCTACAATAATATAACATCAACAAAAGTTCCACCTCCTTTATAAGACAGTTGGATATGGGGTCAGACCTTCTATAATAGTTGGACATCAGCTGTAAAACATGGGCAGCTCCCCAGCAGTCAAATAAATTAGAAAAGTCACTCCTTTCTCAAGACATTTTAATACCATCAGCCAGAAAATAACTCTGTTAACAGTCCAAATCTGCATATGGTAAACCCAAACGTGAAGAGTGGTTCTCAGGCAGGTTGGAAAATGTAAACCTTGCACACTGTCAGCCTTCCTGATGAGAAAGCTAAAATCCAATCTTAGTTGTATTTCAAAATATCGAGTAACTTGAAAAATCATGTTTGGGACTCGGTCTCTTCATCTGAAAAGGTTGTACATGTTGATCTCTGGAAATGATGGGCCAGCAGCTATAAGGTGGCTTGCAAACAAAAGCAACATGGCCTCACTATTTAAAGTGCTTGCTTCTGGGCCAGGGATTTAGCTCAATGGCTCCGTGCCTGTCTGACAAGTGCAAGGTCCTAAGTTCAATTCCCGGTACCAGAAAAAAGAAAAAAAAAGAAAGAAAAAGGTGCTTGCTCCTGACTGGGAGGCTGAGGAAGGAGGAAGGCAAGTTTGAGCTGAACCGGGGAAGGCAAGTTCAAGCTGGGGATCTAGCTCAATACAAAGGCCCTGTGTTCAATCCTCACTACTGCAAAAAATAACATAAAAGAATAAATAATGCCTGCTCCTATTTTCTAACTGCTTATGCCTTCAATGAAACTTAAAAGTTTCTCTTCACAGTCAAACCTCCAGTCCCTAGTGCCCCAGGTAAGAAAAACCTCCTCTTTCAAACATAAGTTTCGTTTAAATAAAATTTTAAAAGAAAAGCTTGCAGAGCATAAGCCGCTCCACTGTAGCCCCTGTCTGGATTGGCTCCCTAGACTGGCTGCTGCACGCTTCCCTTCCACAAACCCTATCCCTATGTTTCTTCTATCAATTCAAGAGAAGCAACCTTGACAGCTATCATCAGTGGGGGTGCATTTGTTCTGAACAATTCTTCCATGGCAATACTGCTCCCCACTGCAGGACATTCATTATGCTTGGCCCCCGCTCACTAAATGATAAAAAAAAAAAAAAAAACACTAATTGTGTGACAGTCAAAACATCAGTGCCCCTTTTCAAGCATGTCCTTAGGCAGTGGCACCACTTCTGATTGGGAAACCCTGTTAAACAGCATCAGTTTTACCTCTGGCCCTGGAAAATTACTTCTGAAATATGTCTCTGTGTCTTTGCCAAAAGTGACGAAGGCCAAGCACAAACCTCTTTCAACAGAGAGGGGAAAAGAGAACACAGTACTTAAGAGTCCATTGCTCATAGTTTCTCAGAAGAACTGAGCTCCTCACCTCTGTTATAACTGGGGAAATTGAAATTCAGGCGAGTTGCCTAAGGTCACTGGTTAAATAATAGGCTGCATTGACTCTACACATAAAATCCCTTAAGAAGCAAGCATCTTAGTTCAGTTTAGCATATGCATCATGATATAATTGTTCATTATTTATTGATTACTTGCAATGTACCAGCACTTTACAAATCTCATTTATCCTTTCAACAGCTATAGAAACAAGTATTTCTACCCCTTCACACAAATTAGGAAACTGATGCTTAGAGAAGGGAAGTAGTTTGACCAAGGTCTCACAGCTAAAGTGGCAGAGCTGTGGGTCAAATTGAAGTTCATGGAGCTGACAAGCTCAAGTTCGCAAATGTTCCCTGCCTTGGCCAACAGCCCTGGTGTTTTTCAGTCCGCCTTCCTTTCAAGTAGCAGGAAAGTTGACTGAAATCCCTAACTTATGAACCACGCTGATGGCAGTGACACTAAAAATAATTATTTTTCACTGTGTTCTGCAAGAGATGTTATTTTTCATTATTGCTAGGACAGCTCTCAGCAGGGTCACCTCATTAGCTGAAGAAAATGTTCCCTGTTGTTCCATGAGAGATGGATCAGATGGACAGGCATAGAAACAAACACTGGAAAGTGATTCTGTGTTCCCTCGTTTAGGGGATGGAACAGTAATCCCTTTCTTCCCTGAAACCCAGCCTTCTAAGTGGTGTTTTACTTCTGGAGTTGCAGAAGTGTTTTAAAAGGGATGGAAAAAGTTTTATAGGGTTGCCTTCCAAAACTCTTTATCAGTGTTTCCATAACAGAGTAAATTGGGGTGTGGAGCTGTTAGTGAGCATACTTAATACTGGTCTGTTTTAAATTTTCCCATGTAGGAAAATAATGGTTTGGCTAGATTGGTCCTAATGGGCTATGAGGAATAACTAGTAGTGAGGGGTTTTTTTGTATTTTTACATTAGAACAACCTGAAATGTCAACACTTCATGAAGTATATTGATACTCATTGATGGACGTCTCACAAGCCAGAATTCATCTGTAAAATCCTACTTTGCTTGTTTTGAAGTTTATTTTCTATTTTTTTAAAAAAGTGATTTTTTTCAAAATTAGACTCAGTCACAGAAGTTGCATTTTATTGAAATAAAATCAAAACTCTCCATTACGAACCATGGGGCCTACATTACCTGGGGGTGCCCACCTCCCTGACCCATATGCATACTGCTCTGCCGGCTCTAACCTTTGATTTTACATGAGGACTTGGGGATGTTCTGCCCCTCTTCCTGGATCATTATTGCCTCCTGATCTTTACCTGGATGATTCTGAAAAAAAATTATTCCATAATTCCATGTGTTGGTCATCCCGACATCTCCAATCATACTACATTTTAAAATTTATTTTTAAAAGGGCTTTTTGAGGATTTCAAATTCTATTACTTTGTTTACTCACTTATTTTGTGGGAGAGTGTAATGTAAGGGGCATGAATGGAAGAAAGTATCTACCATGGCTAGAACAGAGTCTAGAATCTAATAGAGCTCAGGGGTATTGGTTGAATGAGTGAGAAAATGAAATCTGCTTCTGTGGCTTTAATTAAATATAAGTTTCAGAAAAACATCAAAGGCACAAATACATTTACTGAGTGATCTAAATCTAAATATGAGAAAGTAGTAATTAAAATCAAATTTATAAAATTCTTTTCTATTATTCTTTGCTCTGCCTGTCAACAACAGGAATTCTGTAGATGTAAGGAAGAAATTTCAGGCCATGTTATCTATCTCTGGTCATAGCCTGTCCTTTTTAAAAGATTCAGCTCTTCTACTTACTCACATAGGTCCAGGTCCTTACCAAGATTTTCCAGATGAACATCAGAGCATTTCCAAATATCCCATTTTATACTCAGTTCCTTGGCCCTCTCTTACCTGTAAAAATAAGTCTCTGACATTTCTCTGCTTTGTATTGCCATTTCCAAAAGGATGGCACCCGTGTCTGCTCTCCCACTAGCAGTGAACTTGTTTGGTCATGAGTCTTTGGGTTTCTAAAATAAAGCCTGTATTTGTCCCAGATGTCCTTTCACTGAGTTCACAGAATACAAATGGAAAAAGGTTATTACCAGACAGAGATGTTTAAAAATGAAAATCAAACCTAATACATGGACTCAGACAACCAGGATAAGGAATATAATATTTATAAAACTGAGTAGGAGGTTGCAATCCTTGCTGTAAAATAAAGCATTAAAAATTAATCCAGAGCAAACCTATCTGTGCTACAGCAAACCTGTCTTTCATTAAAGTAACACTGTGCCTCTCCCCAGAATTAGTTTCCCAAATAGGTAAATAGCTTGTAAGGACCGAATGTTCTGCAGACTGGGGAGCATGATTCAGAGTTACTTTTAGTAGAAAACCTTTAAAGACCTTTCATTTTTCAACCAATTAATTGTGACTTTTGCAGTCTCCCTGTATTTTTTGCCCTTGAGTATTATTAGAATGTTTGCTTCGTGTTCTTCCTTATTTGATTAATCCAAATGGTGCCCTATTATTTAATTAATTCATATGCTGCAGAATATTAAACCCTGGGGAACTGTGGGTGCCAGTTATAAGTTATACTTGAAATGTGCTCTCAGATTTTTTATTGCAAAAACTTTGTTTTACCCTTTTTAAGTGTTTTTTTCTCTATCTTCTTCCACATCATATTATCATTATTAGTATTTCACTGCTATTATTAGTTTCCTACTTCAGAATACACTAACAAGAAAACTTATAATACCTCTTCTTCATTTTCACTTGATATGAGGTTATTATTTTTGTCCAATTTACAGCATTCTTCTGAAGCTCTAAAATATCCTGATAACCTCTGGGCCTTATTGATTTTTGAATGATTTCAAATAAAAAACATCCAGTTTCCATTGCATTGACAAACTGCTCAGTCCCTGGGCAATCCCTATTGGATTCCCATTAAGTGAAAGGGACAAAAAAAACCCCAGAAAATCCAAAAAGTGGATTTGAAAAGGAGGGGAGAGGTGGTCATAGCTCTGCACAGTAAATGGGTACTTAACCTTTGACCAATGACGACAGGTCTTCTTTATTTCTATTAGGCCAAGAACAAGCTATGATTAAATAAGAAAGAAAAAACTGTTTAGAACCTTGCCGAGTATGTCCTGGGAATTAAAGCATATGGCAGGATAAGGGATAAAGATTTTCCTTATGCTAATGACCCTTGATGTCTGAAATAAATTAGATCCATTAGAGTTTATGCTCAATAAAAGGAAGACTTTAAGCACTCCAAAGTTAGTGACTCGAGACCAGTTTTTACTCTGAAATTCAATCTGCCTACTTATTAATTCTTAGTGAGGCTCCAGAGCAGACAAGGATACAAAAAATCATAACTCCGTACTGACCCAGGATTTTAAAGGGACACAGGTTTCTTTTCCTTTTCTTTTAATTAAACCATTTTTCATGCTTCCCATTTTGTTTCCTGCATTAATTTGATTTTGTTCCCATTTTTGTTTCATTTTTTTTCTTTTCAAGGTTTCATTTATCCTATTTCAACTGAACAGAGAACCCAGAATGAATATGGATTTTCTTGTAAGTTTGATGTTTGGATTTTATGTTGCTGAATAATCATTTAACATTATTGCCCCCAGTTCAAGTTTGCCTTTTGTTGGATCACAGATGTGCACACAGTAAACAGGAGCCTAATATATTCTAACATGAAAAGCAAATGAGATTTTCAATGCTGAAGAGAAGAAAGGGTCATTCTAAGTCTCTGCCAGCTTCAAAATCTATCCATCTATGATGTAAAGCTTGAGTCCCAGTAACTGAGAAAACATATCACGAAATATGCTGATATAAATAAAGAGCAGGGTTCAAATACTCAAAAGGAAAAGGTTAAGAAAATGCATATCTGTTGTGCTAGAAATCATTAATGTTGAATAAGTAATTATGGCCTGGCAAAGTAAAATATTAAGAATTTACATATAATATTTCCATATAATGTTCTGACCAGAGTTTAAAATTCTGTGGCAGGGCCCCAAATAAAACCCAGCAGAAGCAAAGGGAGTCAGCACTTAGAAAACCACACTCTCACAACCAAGAGGATTTGGGATGTCACTATTTTGTGGAAAAAATAAACTGTCAGTATGAACTTGATTAATGGAAAAGTGAATATTTTGGAAACTTTGGGAAGGACAATATTTTTAAAAAGAAGCACAATCCTTTCACAGTACATTTAAACACAAAACACCAAAAGAGACGGGGCAGTTTCCACCAGGAAATTTGTTTACCTGCCATCCTGTGGAAGTCACCATGACACCAGACTGTAAGTTATCACGTGTGCCGCTGGCAAATGAAAGAATGAGTCATTTCCTCAAATAAACCACGTGGCTCTGAGTCTGAAGAGAGAGCATTGGTTCCTCAAATTTTAAGTCACAGGACCCATACATTGGAATTCTCTCTACCCAAGAATGCCTATGTATATTAAATTGACCATAAAATTTGAGGGGGTTCTTGACCACCTGAAGAACCAAACAATGACACCCTCTTCTACAATGAACAGAGCAGCTTTGATTAACTTTGCAACTCTTCTGTGGGTCATGAAAGATGGAAGGTGGAGACTTAACACTGGCAAAGTGGTTCTGCAAGGCTTTAATTTTGTTGCTGATAGTTTAATTACCAGCTCTTTTGCCTTTTACCAGTTGAATCAAAGTATGCCCCATGCCACCAAGGAAACAGGCAGCATTTATAGAAATTCTTTCCTTACTTTACCAAGAAATAACCACCAGTGGACTGCACCCTGTGCTGGTCAAAGCTCACTTGGCTTCTGGGGTAATCTGACCTTCTTGGTCACTGATCCAGGCCTGTATCTTCCATAGCACACTTTAGAGCTATGTATATCCCAGTAATGAGAAGCTCAAATGCAACTCTTTTACAAGGGTCCATGGGAAGCTCAGTGGTAACACTGTGCCTATACCAGAAGTCTGGATTTTGAGAACATAGTGGTCTTAACCTCTGAGCCCCTGACTTGGGCTTTCTGAAAGCACACCTTTCTAGTCCAGTGTCTGCTGCTAATATTTGCTTTGCTTAGTTACACCATTCCCACCCACCCCTGCATTGAGTTAGGAGAAAGTAAGAGAGGTAGGGAAAGTAATTGTATGACCTGGAATGATACTTAGGAAAATATTCTGGTTTGATAAAAATATGGACTCAAAATATGCCATGTATTTCTAACAGTGTTTATGTTTTTTAAATAACTATCAGTGAATTCAAAAACCCTTCCAAACTTTTCACCTGAAAGGAGTAATAAACTTATTTTTTCTCTGTGGGTTGGGATGGTTTTAGCTCTGGTTTCTTTATATGCTAGTAATAAATGGTCTGTTATGCTGCCCAATTATAAGATAGATTATTGGGTGGATTGATGCAGAGTGAGAAAGAAAAAGAAATCAGAGATAATTTTCCACTGAAAGGCCACAGTCATTTTATATAGCTTTTGAAATAGATTTGAAATTAACCTATAAAAAGGGCAATAAATGTCCGAAAAAATTATAGCAATACATATGTGCACTGTGGGAAATTTCTATAAGTAGTTGGTCCCGTGTTTTATTCTCTCCCTCCAGCTGCTCCTGACTCAGATGATGTGGCGCTCTATGTGGGAATCGTGATCGCGGTGATAGTGTGCCTGGCCATCTCTGTGGCCGTGGCTCTGTTTGTGTATCGGAAGAATCATCGGGACTTTGAGTCCGATATTATTGACTCTTCAGCCCTCAATGGGGGCTTCCAGCCTGTGAATATCAAAGCAGCCAGACAAGGTCAGTGGGCATCACACTTCACAGCCTGCTCCTTATGTGAGCCATTTCCCTGTGTGGCTTCAGACTCGTGACTTATGTATGGGTCATCCAGTTCAGCTAGAATGTAAGCTCCACGAAGGCAGCGATTTTCATTGACTTCACTCATTTCTGGCTTGGTGTCATTCCATATAACAAATTGGAACTGACCAAGTGCACAAATTACCTTTTTCATTTCTGACAGTTTGCTGTGTCCTACTTTTTAACTTGTTTTCTAAAAATGCATCGATTCATTGACTGACTTCCTGGTCTCTTTGTCTCCCTTTCTTTGACAAGACATCTTGTATTGCTTTGACTGCAGTGGATTACAGATGAACCCAATCCAGAGCAGACAAAGGAACCTCTTAGCAAACAGTGACCTCCTTGTGGGGCTTATTGTCCAATCCTGTCTGTTGAAATAGCCAAATACCTTAACTAAACATAGAAGGAGCTGGGCCACTTGGAAATGGCCCATAGTAAAACAGATTCTTGTTGCCAGTCTGGCATGTTTTCAGCAGAGCCTCAGAGTCTACACATCCCCAGTGTTAGCTGAGTGCTTTGCTTCTGGCCCAGAGAGTGGGCGGCGGAGTCTGAGTAATGTAGGTTGCCTGAATGGAGATTGCAAATGGAATTCTCTTCTCTTTCTGACTCAGATCTCCTGGCGGTGCCCCCGGACCTCACATCGGCTGCAGCCATGTACAGGGGACCTGTCTACGCCCTGCATGATGTCTCGGACAAAATCCCAATGACCAATTCTCCAATTCTGGATCCACTACCCAACCTGAAAATCAAAGTGTACAACACCTCAGGTGCTGTCACTCCCCAAGATGACCTCTCTGAGTTCACAGCCAAGCTGTCCCCCCAGATGACACAATCCTTGCTGGAGAACGAGGCTCTCAACCTGAAGAACCAGAGTCTGGCCAGGCAGACTGACCCGTCTTGTACAGCATTTGGCACCTTTAACTCCCTTGGTGGTCATCTCATTGTCCCTAATTCAGGTAATTTATAAAAGTTTAAATGGCAAAGATGCAGATTGAAACCATGCTCTTTATGCCCAATCTCTTTTGTTTGTTTTCATTAGACTTAAAATGTTAAATGTAGCCTATCTAAGCCAAATCTGCTTTCAATATAAATCAAATATTGCTTCAGACAAAATCAGCAAAACCGTTTATCTTCCTGTAACCAATTCTGCAAACACTTCCTCTAGAAATATTTTATTCACAACTTTCTGCTGAGCTGTAATTCAGAACTAGTATTGACTTCTTTCTCATAGAACTTCAGAAGGCAACATCAAGCCAGGAGCCCTGGCTGCTGTCACTATACCTTAAAAGTACAATTAATTAGGAAACATATCAATTAGTCCAGTTTTTTTGAAAGCAAAACTTCAGAATACTAATTTTCAGATGATCAGAGACATCAAAATAGACATCACATCTTCATTCATCACATTCATCTTCATTCATCTTCTGTTCACTACAGAGTCTTCATCCATAAGGTATTTATAAAATATTCACACAGACCTCGGATATACCCACTATGAGCCCCACCTCATAGATGTCCTTTTGAGGTATTATTTAGTTTTCAGTTTGTTATGTAGTTTTATTTGCAACTAGAGAAAAACCCTCATAAAGATCTTTCATGGTAAACTTCATTTAGCAACTGACAATATTGGAAATCATTAATCAATAGTAGCAGTGGCTTTGCAGCCATGGGTCATTGGAGGGCTAATAACTTCTTCTCTGAACCTACCTTAATTCTTTTGGACAAGGTTGTGAATATTTCTAAATACAGAAATAGAAAGCAACTTCATCAACCTAATGTGTTAGTGTCATATGAAAAATATGGTGAAGTAATATACAGACCCATGGGTCTCCAAGCCTGAACATGAAACTGTCTTTGGGTCTTCTTATTCACCCCCTCGTTTCAATGCCTTGGTGACATTTTACCCCACACCATTAAACAGAAATCTTAATAAAATTAGAATATTAAATAGAATTCAATTTTTTCTTTTTCTATACATTTTTACACAGGTGAAATTGTAAGTAAAATATTTTGTTCATCTTTTTCTCATTAATTCTCATGCTAGTTGCATGTTTTTAAAATCATGATATATATCTATAATAGTACATCACATGACTACATCAAAGCATTTTCTGTTGTTCTTACATTACACATTATAATTATAATTATTTCTAAGACAATTCTTTTCCCTGTGATACTTTACTCAGGGTCTTCCGCTTTTTCCTTCCCTTTTCTAAACCTGCCACTTTTTCATATGTGACATTATAAAGGTTTCTTAAGTGAAAGAGAGGGAACTGACATGCTTTAAATTCTTAATATGTACGAGGCAGTGGTGATCACCCTACACTATTTCATTTACCAGAGTAACAACAGTTACCCACATATGCCAAGCATATTCTTATTACACCTACAATTTTTTCATCCCTTAACAAAAATGAAGGTACATTTCACAATTCCACTGTGGGAAAAACACCTGCTGAGGCTTGGCAGCGTCAGGTGCGGTCCTCCTGCTCCCACTGTGTGCTCTCTACAACCATTCTGGATGTGAGCATGACATCTTGCTTCCCACAGCACCATGGCCCTTGGGTTATGTTCCTTGTCCAAAAGTGCAGGCCTCAGCATCATGGAACAGCTGTGTGAAGACTGAGCAGTGCCTCCCCCTTAGCTCTCCATTTTCTCATTCTTGAGACTTCTCAACATAGGCAAGTTTTCTTGTTGCCACATGCTCACTTGGCGTATTCCATTTCCTTGCTAAGTTACATGTTTCTCAGTACAAGAACATCATCATTTACTTCTTGGTGTTCACAGCAGTGTCAAACACGGTCCTCACATACACCATACACTTTAATTGCACTGGATTAAAATGAATTTCATGGGAATAAAATGGTGGAGCAAACACCTCCAGAGTGCTGGGGACCCTGAGTCACTCACGGTGGAAACCAGCAGTGTAGGACAGTGGTTCTTACACGGTAGGTCCCAAACTACCATCTTGGGCATCACCTGGCAACTTAGGACAACAAAATCTCCCACTCATCCCCAGACCTTCTGAATCAGAGACTGGGTAAGACTTCCACAAGCCCTCCAGGTGATCCTTTTGAAAGCTCAGCTTTTCAAATGCTGCTGTTAGGCAGAGTTAGCACGAATGCAGCTCAAGCCCATGGTCCTTCTAAAGAGCACCAGTTAGTGACTAAGTAGTAACCAGCCATCACTTCCTAGAGTTATAGATTAGAAAAAAGGCTCCTCACCAACTAATATTTTTTGGTGGAATAACACTGATGCTAACCAGATATTTCAGAAATAAATGTGTGTGTGTGTGTGTGTTTGTTGTTGTTTTTTTGTTTTTGATAGGCTGAAGTTAGCATTTCCCTAACTCTGAATCTTGGAAAGAATTTTTTTTAATTAGAAACAATGCAACATTATAGCTGTTTGAAATTTTAATAGCAGTTGTTGGTTTTCCCCTTGTTTTACAAGGAAAACAACAGTGGAACCATCTGTTTGATTCCTTAAATAAAACAAGAGTTTAAAAAATTACCTCATTCCTTTAAGTAATTCCATAACAGTTCAGAGGGAACTGTGGTAAGGAGTAAGGCCCATAAGGAAGGAAATCAGGGTAGCTATGAATATTTACATAGCCTTAGAGAAAACAAAGCAGGCTGAGGGCTAAATGCTCACAAGAAATCACATCATTCCTTTTGGTTACTGCAAAGGCATTCCAAAAGTTTCCTTTTGATTCCAAGCTCTTGTGCAACTGATTTTCTCTTTGCTATTCAGGGGTGAGCTTGCTGATTCCTGCCGGGGCCATTCCCCAGGGGAGAGTCTATGAGATGTATGTGACTGTACACAGGAAAGAAAATATGAGGTAAATACGCTTTGATGCACTTGACTTTCTAAATGTCTAAGTTGGATAGAAATAAGAAACAACATATTTTTGAAACATACAATGAATGACATACGTTTTTTCCCTAGGCATATAAAAGGTCGTTTTATTTTTCTTTATCTTTGACACTTCAGACACTTTTGCAGATCTTGAGCATGAGTGGAATGACAAAGACCCTTTTCCCAAATAGACGTGGCCATTTTAGGAAGCACAAATCAACCAAAATGTGATCCACAGACTGTCCAGAGAGATATGTCGGTGGACACAGAGGCATTGATTTCATGAGGCCTGGCTCCAGAATCCAGGCTGCTCTCCTTACAGGGTTAGAGTCACAAGAAATCCAACACCTTTAACCCCTGCCTGCTCCTCGTACTTCAGCCCAGGCTCTTACGCACAGATTCCCCCTGTTACCAACTTCCTGCTTTTGTTCAGCACTTATCAGTTCCATACCCAGGCCTTTCAGACTGGGTCTAGGCTTGATTAAAACTAGATGGACTGAAGAAGCTCTATTTCAAATGTGTCATAATCATAAAAGATGAAGTTATTTTAAGTTAAAAAAAGGATTTAAAAGTCCTAAATTCAATTTTGTTTGGCCTCTGACAAATCTTAGGTGTCTTTCTTGATTAGTTCCCACATCAAGTGTGCATGTGGTAAACACTGCCTCAGAAGCTTGATGGTTGGATGCTTCTGAAGAATGCTGAGGTCTTAAAATAAAAGATGCTGTGGAAATGGAGATCCTCATCAGTACTGATCCTTGCTTGCCTGAGAGGAAAGGTATCATTCCTCCTCCCTGAGCAATGAGTACACAGCATGAGGGACAGATGGAGAACTGGGTTATTGTTATTATGCATTATACCATTTCCCTGTCCTGTCTCATCCTGAGAAAAGCATCCATTTTTAGTCCTGTTCTTCAGTAGCTGAAAAGCCCTTTTATCATGCGCTCAGGTGGAGATATTGGTATTTATAATTGGTATGACCCAGAACATTTTTTTCCTTGGGTAGTGTACTTTCACCTACACAAACAATAGCCAGACTATGAGAATAATAAAATTCCGTAAGCATTATTCATGCCTTAAACTTAAGCAACAGTCACTAACAGGCTTCCATTTACCCACATCAAATATTCATTTTTTTTCATCCCCAATGCAAAGCAACTTTCCCAAGCCCTCAGATCTCCCTTCTTGTGCAGCTGAGAAAAGATGAGCAGATTTCAAGATCTCTTTATTTTATTTTATTTTCCTTGTCCAGAGTCAAGGTTAGAATTAAATACATACATCCATTCACAAGGCCTTTGCCAACATGGACATTTAGTGTAAATAGAAACGGGTGTACCTTGCATTTTTTTGCAGAGAAGCAGTGAGGTGCTGGTAGTCTCTGCTTTCCTGGGGTGACCATCATCTCCAGCTAAACACTGAACCTCCAGGGGCTGCCTGGGTGCTGGCTGAAACAGATGGTATTATGCTCCCACACATCTCGTCACTGCTATAGTTGGCTCCCTAACCAAGATGATTGTACATTTTAGATGAAGGAAAGAAAAAACAAAATTGATAAAGCTAGATACTTCTGCTTTTAGGACCCTCTGCCTTTGACTAGAAAGCAAAGAAAATGATAAATCACTGCTTGCTCTGCCTACCAGCTGAAGCTAGGTGTGCAGGGAGTTGCTCTATTGAATTTGGTGTGCATCAGAGAACTTTTGTTTATAAAAATGAAACTAGAGAAAGTTCAAGATCTCTAAAGGAAATATATACCCAAGACCATAACACAAGGAAGAAACACAAAATGACAATAGTCTGAGATACATGAGAAGCCCTATCTACACTAATTTTCTGTTATGAACTAGGTGCATTTTTCTTGTAAAAGCACAAAGGCAAGAATGCGCTTTAGAGTTTAGTAATAAAACAAAGCATTGCAATCATTTATTCAGCATATTCTTAATTTCATTTATTCTTCAATGCAATTCTGGAAGTTATGATGCACTCCACTTTAATGGTAAAGAAAGGAAGGCACAAGGACATCAAGTCGCATAGTCAAGATTTTGCAGCCAGTGACTAAGGAGGCAGAATTCCAACTGCAGTTCACCTGACTGCAAGGCTTCTCTGCGCTGTGATGGCTCTTCCATCCCTCCTGCACAGCAGCAGCACACAGACCAGGCCTTGGCCTCCTTAGTGGCCTGTGGTTTGGATGCATACTTGGTTGCTCAATGAAGGCCCTTCCAATCTTCACAGGACAGGAGATGGCACAACTATTCTGTAAGGAGACAGGGTATGCACATCAGAAGATGTGAGTGTTACTTCAAGGCATTTGTAGAAAAATTCTGAGCAGTTTCCTCCCGTCCAGTTCCTTCTATTGTATTCCAGACTGAGTGTGTCCATCTGGGTGCCGTCCAGCTCGTCATCTGCTGATGTGAACCATCTGAAGGGGTGGGGGCATGAGCTTAATTACATGTGGCATCCTGAATGTGACAAGATAGGCCTTAACATTACTGAATCTGCTCTCAGAGAAACTCCAGGCTGGCAGATGGGCGGCCTGGCCAAGCCAGAGGCCAGGCGGGTGCTTCTCACTGGAGGATTTTTCTCTCCTGCTTTCCTATCTCTGGAGAAATACTCCCATGCTGGTTTGGGTGTGATGAGAACCTAAAAAGAACAGGCAGGGACAAGGAAGATGACAAAGAGTATTACATACATACCTAGCTCCTAACCTAGAATGGTTACTCAGTGACCGTTTTTGAATGAAAGAATGAAAATTTGTAAAGATAAATGAATCAATCACAGTATAAGAGTATCTCAAAAGTCAAAGGTAAAGAGGTCTTCAGGATGGAGGTAACTGGCAATGATGATACTAAAAACATAAAGACAGAGGAAGAACAATAAAAAGTATTGGATTTGTCAACTATAGGACATTGGTGGACTTCAGAAAATTTTTATTGGTGAAATTGTTGTAGATACTGCTAAGGTGTAAGTTAGTGACAAAACTATCTTACAAATCTACCAAAAAGAATAGTAAAGCATATGTTAGGATAAAATAGAAGGCTAAATTTTCTTAAGGTATGTAACTATATAGGAGAGGTTTTTGTTTAACATGTTATTGTTTGGAGTTTTGTAAAATAGTAGTTGACATTATTTCTCAGTGAAAGTTGGAGATATTTCTCCTTTTGGGTAGAGATTCCTTTATCATTCATGAGTCCCAAGTTCCTCTGTTTGAAGGAATTACTATAGAAAGACTAAAGAGGAGAGGTAGTGGAGTTCAGGTATATATATGTAAATCTCTTTCTCTTCAGATTCTTAGTAGTGGTTAGAAGTAGGATTTATTGAAATCCTACTTAGAAAGAAGTGCTTCAAAGTAGTTTGTAAAAAACACATTCCTTTCAATGAAAGGGAAAATATTTAAAGTTGTTGCAAAAAGAAAATGGGAAAAATAAGGTTATAAAAGATAAGGTAAAGTCAGGTGAGCAGTTAGAATGTAAAGTGTTTGATGTGATTCCCAGCACATTTACTGGCAATAGATCATGAATTGCCCCTTTCAAACATGTGGGAAGTTAGAGGATCCACATTTTTATGGGGGGAAAGAATATGCCCAGAAAAGGCTTCATTGTTTCTTACTTGCTTCCTCATGAAGAAGATACTTTGTTACTATAAACTAACAGTATCTTTGGGCTGGGGATTTAGCTCACTGGTTTCACCGCCTGCTGGGCAAGCACAAGGACACAAGTTGGATCCCCGGGAGCAAAAAACAACAACAACAACAAAAAAAAACCTAACAGTATCTTTTAAATAAAAATTGCAATGAATTTCACCTATTGGTATCCCTCAATGGAATTAGACTGTCTAGGCTCAAATATACATACACAGGAGCACAGTGCTCAGGTGTTCTGGCTCAATCCAGGGACAGATTTGCCTGTCTAAAATGGTGGCGTGCCCTTCAGAGTGGCTTCTATACATATATATATTTTTGCTCAATTGAGCTTTTGATAGCAAGTGAGTTAGATATTCCCTGTCAGGTACCGCGAGTGCAGATATTTCAAGTTGCCAGTTACATACGAAGGCATGTGCTTTAAAAGGCAGCTGAGCCTAGAGTGGAATTGTCATCCTGGGGGACCTGACAGAAGACACATGCATCCACAGAAGGCGTTTCTCATCACAGGAGGCACCACAGAGGTGGATGGAGGCAAATTCTTTTCAAAGAGTTTTGTTCTAGCAAAACAGCTACAAAGGCCCTAACCGAAACCCATGAATGGCCATGGTGTGAAAGAAACCAAATGACTTGCATTTAAAATCTAGCTTTGCTGTTGACTAGCTGTGCCCTTAGGCAAGTGTGTTAGTGTCTCCAGATTTCAGCTTCCTCTCCTGGGAAAGAAGTGATATAAATACTCATTCCAACCACCTTACAGGTGCGCCCAGAGAAACAAATGCAATTACTTATACGGAAGTTTTGTAAATTATGTATTTTGAGGTAGAAGTTCCCTCACTGATAATGGCAAAGAATGAAAAAATATCTCTGACAGGGAACAAACTCTCCATGGGCTTTGTCCCGGAGGACTCAGAAGCCGTGCACCATTTACCATGATGTTATGCTAGGTGGACTTTGAAAAGCCTTTAAAATTTGTATCATTGTTTATTGCTGAATTTCTACTAATTGTTGCATCGACGGCTAATTTTTGTCTGTGTTCATTTCTATGTCAAAGGCAATTAATATTTACAAATTGTTTGCTTGGATTAGGTAACATGAGACATAAAGAGTGAAACCCTCTGCAAAAATATGAATCAGACTTATCTATTTTTACTATTTTGTTTTATATATCTTTAATATTCTCCTTTTATATAAAAAGGAGATGGGGATTTAGAAACTCCACCTTTGGTTTCACATAGTTATGTAAATCTTACCTAAATCACTCCTTCCACTTATGCTTGAAAATATTTCCAATTTTATGCTATTTCTCTCATCTTAAAAGCATAGAAGAGATTCTTTTTTTTATTTGTTTTTTGTCCCCTAGTAAAAATTCCTCTTTCCCACTTCCCTGTTCATTACAACCTGGCATCTCATTGGGTTAATAAACTCTTTTGACACCTATTTCCCTCCTCGTGTCCCACTTCCCTGGCTATCCCCCCTCCAGAAGCACTGCCCATCAGTATTGCATGCCAGGGGTAGCCTGGGAGGTACAATCTGACAGCTCCCTCACCCCACAGGGAGTCTTCTCCCTTCTGCTCCAACTCAACATGAGAAGAACCCGCTCCTCCCTGGCTCCCAGCACCAACAGCAAAGGCCAGACTGAGAGACAGATGTTTCCAATCCACAACTATATTGAAAGAGCCACTTGAAATAGATTTCACTTTAGTCTCCTTCCTTAAAAGTTTAATGCTAGCTTCTCAACGTACACTTATATCTAAAAGGTGATAGCAGTGCTCAAGAAAATGCAATCATTGTCAGATGTTTTGTTTTTTTTTTCCTCTCCCTTGACAGGAAAAGTAGAATTAAGGAATAATAAAGTCACTGCCTAAGGCAGATAGTGTAATATTAACTATGACACAATGAAAGCAAAACTTCACTGACATTGTAAGAGAATGAATTTCAGACTGGATGGAAGGAGGACAAACTGGGTTATGGGAAAATGAAAACCTGAGTGGTAAAGGGGAGAGTCTTGAGGTCTCAAGCTGCTGCCAATAACCTAATGATTCCAAAATATAAGTACATTTCCAATACCTAACAAACTTTAGATGTAATAGAGGAAACTTTGTTGATAGTCGTAGTGAATGGAGATGATATTAAAAGACCAAAAGTAGGAAAGCTTGTTTGGGTTTCTGAATAGGAAAAGACACAGGTTGGTGAGATACTAATGCAGTTTTAGAAAAAGAAAAGGAGCAGCAAGAACCTAGGCATATTCAGGGCCATAAATGCCAAGCTCTGCTTCAGTTTTTAGAAGCAATGATTGCCAACTACAAAAGCTCTAGGATTTGGCCTTGCTTGGTCAGCTCTCCATTAGCTACCAGTTTTGTGGCTGCTGATAGAGGACATAAATCTCTTGGGTCAGAGACAAAGGATGGTTTATTAGTCACAACAGTAGCACTACCGAGAGTAGCATCATTTTTGTGGTAGTTTCCTGAGTCTGAGTTCCCAAAAGGTAACACAAAGAGAGTCAGTTGCATCTACACATTTCAATAAAGGCCTCTGGGCTTAGGGTACCTTAGTCTTTTTTGTGTTGAGAAGTAGACCTGCGCTAGTTGCTCCAAAGGCTGACACTGACTCTGTCTTCCAAGCCAACTGCTCTATAAGCATCCTTGAACAGTCAAGAACATGCAGTAACATGAGAAAATTATCTTCCAACAGTGCTAAAGATAATAATAGTTGCTATCATCCATTGAGTGTTAAATTAGGCCAAGTCATAGATGTGAACTAACTTCTAGAGGATGTAATAAATGTTAGAGAAACTGTAAAGACTAAAGAAAAATAAATTTTAAGTGGGCACTGCAAGTACAACAAAGTTGATGTGTTCTTTATTAATATCCATGTGAATAAGATCGAAAGACGTCACCTGGACATCTTAAATATAAACAATTGGTTTATATTTAGTTGAACTAAATAACTGAGAAATATTGGCATTAGATAGGAAAGAGGTTTCAAGTAGTGTCCTTGACAAGTTCTCTGCCCTTACCTTATCCTTGTATTATGATGTTATCAGTAATTATTAAGGGGAACGTAAAAGGCAGGCATATCTGATTTATGGAAGATAACCACTACTTGGAGGAGAGACAAGCATTAAGAAATTTACCCAGATATTTTGCCAGAAGAGAATATGTAGGCAGTAGCAGACATCTCTGACAAAGTATTTCTCAAAAGTGATAATGTACTGTACTTATTTTTAGCTTTAAAGAAATTTAATGTATTTGAGTTTTACATTTTGGCCAATCAAGATTCCAGGTGATCGATATATGGACCACTTTTGAATTTAAAAGACAGACCTGTGTCTTTTAAATTGACTCTCTTGATTATTTTACTAAATAATCTTTCTCTGACATTTAAAATGAAACATGCTGCTTAAAACAAAATTGGGTATTTGAGGTACCACTTGAGTGTTAAAATCTTTGCGTCACAGAACAGAAATAAGTAAGAATGATAAATGTTGAATGTTAACAGGTATTTTCACAGGTTTGACTTGTTCCTTCACAAAGTTAGGACATTAGGGAAAGGTACACTTAATACAAATGAATGGGATAAGCAACTGAGACCTAAAATTTGACCTTTGATTTTATATATTTAATTTGTTCCTATAAACTTTGTCAATAAAACAATATTAGGAAAAAAAAGGAAATTTACAATGGAATTATTAAGGTAAAGTTAAAAGCTAAATATAAATGTGCATGCCTAGATTCAAAATCTGTCATTACAGGCAGAACTACCTCAACTTAGCCTAAGACTCTTTCAAGTTCAGAATAATTCAAATGGGCTTTACCAAATTACTCAACCTCCTTGCAGCTTCCTTGCCTTGTTTTATAAAGGAAATATTTGATCATGCTATTTCCAACTTCTCCAACTGGAGCTTGCTGAATAATATTTACAAGTAATGGTTTGATTGAGAATAATCTCATGCAGCAATTTTGTGAGGCGTGAATATACTGCACATTCCAAATCAAAGGGAAAATTCTTCCTCCTATAGTTTCTACTTGCATACTGGGTTCATTTCAAGATGCCAAAATTTAATTAAGACACTGAAATAATGAGAAACTTCCACATGGAAATTAATAAATATAGGGAGAGATCTGGAAAACACGTTTTGCCAGCTGATGTAGAAAAAACTTCAGGATGTTTGGTCTCTAATAAAGATTTTAGAGATTTCATAACAACATCCAAATAAACAAAGTGGGCCAGAAAGCAGGTCAAAGATACATAAAATTTCAAGGAAAGCAGACTGTGTTCATTCCAGCTGAGAATATTTTGTAAATTTGAGTAGATAATAAGGTGGCCCTTTGAAGCTATGGACTGTAATTGTGGATGAACCTAAAAACCATACGTCATCCATGCTGTGGCATGGCTCTTGATTTGAATGGAAAGGGAGTTCCATGAACCCTGAGGGCCCTTGTAAGTCTGAAGACTGCTGTTCTGAAAGCTACCTCAGGTAGAGTTCTTGAGATGGTACAAGTTTGAGTTCCAGCACTGACCAGCCCTTGTGAGCTAGGAGTTTGAGGCAATCTGCCCAATACTTTTGGGATGACTTCCTCACTTATCACTGATAGGTTGGATCAATTTATCCATTTGCTTTTAGTTACTTTCTTTAAGTGAAAAGAATGAGTGAGGTTTTAAAAAATATACAAGAAAATAAGGAATTTGGATTTTTGAGGTTCTTTCTGCCCAGATTCTCTGAGCGTGAAATATGTAAGTCAAGAGATCTCATTTTATTTAACTTGCTATAGAAATACAGTTCTATATTCTTTTGGTCATATTTGAAAGAATGAGTCTGCTATACTAGCCTGAATTATTTCCTAAAGTCATTTGGACTAAGTTTAGCTCTAGGGTGTCCTCATTCTGACATGATTTTTTAAAAGTATTTTTCAGTTAGGTCCTAAAAACGCAAAAGCATTTAAAACCCTGTGAGACCAATGACAAGTATTATCAGAAAACCTGGTTATATAACTTCATAAGAATTCTGTTCTTTCTCATTCCATCCTGAAAGTAGCCTTCATAAATTCAGAGGAAGCTATCAAAGGCAGACCTGTGTCTGAGGAAAGCAGATCAAAGAGATTCACTGTTATCATAAAGACCTCCAGTCCTGCAAGATCAAAGTCTTGGTATAAAGAGCATGTCTCCCCATTTATTTCTGCCTTGGCCCCCACCCCCAAAAAAGAGCTCCAAGAGAAAATGATTTGAACTGTTTGTGCAACTTTAGATCTCAGATCTCAATGAGTACATAATACATCAGTGCTATGAAGGGTCACTAAGATGGCTCCTGCTCTCCACAGGCCCCCCATGGAAGACTCGCAGACACTGCTGACCCCTGTGGTGAGCTGTGGGCCCCCTGGAGCCCTGCTGACCCGCCCCGTCATTCTCACCCTGCACCACTGTGCAGACCCCAGCACCGAGGACTGGAGGATCCAGCTCAAGCACCAGGCAGCACAGGGACAGTGGGAGGTGAGGGCATTCTGGTGGGGAGGTGGGGTCCAGCGGGAGCCTTCTGGAAGACCTTTTCTTCAACAAAACATGGGTGGGAAAAGGTGAGACAAGGGTGAGAGACAGGCAGACAGTCTGTTTCCTAAGTGCTTTATCTTCTGATTGACAGACACAAAGAAAAAGATGGTCAAACATAAGCTAACTCAGGGAAAGTATACTCAAAAGTCTCAGACAAATTCCTTTTGGAATATAGATCCTGTATATTGGGAAGTGATATTTATTCAATTAGTTTGCAGGCAGAGAAACATTGCAGACAAGTAATTAGAAATAGCTTTTATGAACTGGACTTGGAAATTTAACCTGGGAGAATAGAAAAGCCATGTCTCCAAAATGCCACCAGACCGAGGAAAACCAGTGGCACCTTATCTCTGTGTGGCTGTTGCCACCATAACTTGTAAAAGTCCATGTCTTAAACGGGTTCTGTTCCCTACATCAGATCACTTTACTCAATACTTATATCTCAGGAATATGTTCATCAAATAATATCAAGTAATTATAAAAACTAATATAAGTGTAAATTTACATTAAAGTTTATACATATAAAATATGAACTTATATACAAAATATAGATTATATACTTTGTAATTATGATATTTTTCTTTTAGCAAAGAAATTTCTAAAGATACATATGAAAATTTCAGCCCATAATATTTTAGGAAAATGTAAAGTTAGCAGAGTAGCAGGGCCCCCTGGGATTCCCTAGATTTTCCTTTCTGAACATTTACCTCTTGTGGGCATATAAAGAAATCAATCCTTGCTAGAGGATCCAAAATCTAGGTTATCTTTAAGTTAAGACCAGACTTAACCAGATCTTACTTTAATCTCACTTAAACTGTAAACTGTTTACATTAAAGAAAAACATCCAAAACCTTATCTTAAATGACCCTCAAGTGTTTGCAAGATTCCCTGCCTGATACCCTATCATCTCTGGGGTTGAATAATACAAGTACAATAGCCAGAATGCACTAGAGACAGAAGTGTAGAAGGGAGCGTCCTCATGAGGAGGCCCACCGTGAGTGAGTTCTGGGATGTGGCCACCCTGTGCTTGGCTGTGCCTTGGGGAGGCTCTGTAACAAACCATCTTGGTGATCCTGAGGTTTGCCTTTGTCCTGCTGGATAGTGCATCTTCTTTCCACGTGTCCTTTTGGAGCTGCAGTAAACTCAGAGGTACTAAGCTTCTTTCTGTTTTTTCCTTTTCAGTGTGAGCTTCCTTTTGGGAGAGAGGTTCAGTTGAAAAACTAATTTCACCAATGCTGTTAAAATACCACTCAGGTGGTACAATATGGCCTAATAAACCACCACCCAAGGTGGCTGCTTCTTTAATAGCTCTTCCCAGTCCTGGAGACCACATTTATGATGAAACAGTCATTCATTCTTTTCAAAAAACTGTTGCTGGATGCTCACCATGCACCAGGCCTGCTAAGACGCAATGGAAAGCAGAGGGGACATGCTCCTGCTGCAGAGATTAAGTAGCCTGTGCAGAGAGTAAATCATGCTCACATGTGTACTTTGTTTCTCCCACATGACATTATATTTTAAATTTGAATTAGTTAAAAGCTGGAAGATTTCACATAAAGATCTGACATTCCAGTTTCTCTCGGGAAAGTCAGGGTCCCATGTGCCCGGGACCTGCGTCCCTGCCAGCCTCTCAGGCCAGGCTGGAGACCGGGCTCTGCAGAGAGGCTGTGCTCTGCCACAGGCCCCACTGCTCCCTTGCGTTTTCGGCTCTACCTGCTTCCAGGGTTTCAGTTCCAGCTCCTCCAGTAGGTAATGATGCTGGGACTTTGGCCATCATTTTATGAATTCTGTGCTTGCTCTTTCTGATTATTTATACTTTGGTTTGAGCCATGTGGATAAATCAAACATGACTGAAATAGTAACCATGTTTTACCCCTCACTTCTATTTATTTTTGATATATATTTTAAAGCTTAAGAGTAGTCTATTTGATAGATTATATGGGGGAACAAAGAGAAAGATGTGCAGTAAAGACACAGAGCTTGCCATAATATTTTGCCTTTTGTAGAGTTGGCAAGCAGGATTATTTAGGAAGAGCAATATATTGCTTTGAGAAGTAACTGGATACTGAATTTTTGAAGAACACACTAGTACAGCCTTGTATAATGCCTTGATTTCCCTAATTCTTTTGAAATATGTAGAGTTTTAGGGGAAAAGCATTGTTCTATAATAACACTGAAATAAAATATGTCTTTTAGATTAAATAAGAAATGCTAAGATTAAAACATTAAATCCTCAGAAACAGTAATAAGCTCAGTACATTGGGAAAAAAAGGATAATTTATAAATGTGTTAGATTTTCATGTGAGTTCTTGGAAGATCAAAAAAACACTAAATGGCATGTGCATAAAGAACATTATCAGTATGTAGGCAATGAAAGGATGGGAGTTAATAATTCAGGTTGGAGATAGAGGAATCATAAAGTCTGAGGAAGGGATAAGAGCAGGAAAAGAGAACTCAAGAGAAGAGACCCTGCTCTCCTACCACCATCCTTGGTGGCCAGTGCATGCTCAATGGCTCAGCCTTGCCCCTTGCCCTCTGCCCCCAGGATGTGGTGGTGGTCGGAGAAGAAAACTTCACCACACCCTGCTACATCCAGCTGGACGCGGAAGCCTGCCACATCCTCACGGAGAGCCTGAGCACCTATGCCCTGGTCGGCCAGTCCACCACCAAAGCTGCTGCAAAGCGCCTGAAGCTGGCCATCTTTGGTCCTCTCTGCTGCTCATCCCTGGAGTACAGCATCCGAGTCTACTGTCTGGATGACACCCAGGATGCCTTGAAGGTTAGTGGCTCCCATCCTACCCGCTCCCTTACCTTCATGTGTCTGTGCACACCTGGAGGTGCACCTGTGCACGCATGTGAACCCACCACTGTAGTTTTAGAAACAGACATATCTCTGAGGCCATTCTGATGTATGAGCTGTTTCCTTTATGCCAGTTCATCCCAAGGGCTACTTCTGTTTATATTTCTTGATTTCTTTTAATGAAAAATGTAGAAGAACTTGGTAATGAGACCTGTGGATGGTAAATAATCTGCTTCCATGTTTATCTCAGCTGTGTTCTTCCTATAAAAGAAATTGGTGTAATTGCTCACACTGTATGTTTCTCTTGTGTGCTACTTCATTTATATGCTTTCCCATTCTTTTTATGAGGGCTGTGAGGGAGAGGGTTAGCATTTGACAACAGGCTGCTGCTTTGCAGAATAAATGAGCTTAATTCCTGGTGCGATTATTGCTGTTCATTTTATTCCATTTGAAGCTTTAAGGGGTATAATAAGTGTCTTTGAAGAAGTTATCATCAGGAAGGAGGAATAAAAGAAGTATGCCCAGGATGCAGAGATAAGTCAAAGTGTGACAAATGCCACAGCTGAGATGCAGAGTTCCACTGGAGTTCAGGGGAGAGAGGCTTCCTCAGCAATGGAGCTGATATTTGAGGTTGGCCCTAATGGAGCATTGAGTTTTGACCAGAATTAATAGAGAGAGAAAATTCCCATGATTTCTAAGTGGAGGGACTGTGCCAAAGTAGAGAAGTAAACAGTAAGTTAGGTCTCTGTGCAGGCATCTTAATCCCAGGATGCCAGAGTGGCGGCTCCTGCTATGGGGTGCACCCTGACTGTTGTCAGCAAGAGGGGTTGAGATTCGGTCTATTGAGTTAATGGGGACTGGAGGGGTTTGCACAGAAGAAAGACGAAGACATGGTTGAAATATAATAGAAATATCAGTCTGACTTCAGTGGGAGGACAAAGGCAGGTTACTAAGGAGAGCAGAGCGTGGTGAGCCGATAGGGAAGTGAGCGGAGGGAACAGGTGTAAAAGGTCCTGTTCAAGTGTCCTTGGAGGACCTGATGAACCACCATCAATGGATGGGGTAGAGGATCAAAGCTCTGTCTCTAAGTAACAGTACAGCTTAGGGGCACGGGTAACTTTGGATTGTGAGCCGTAGTCAGTTCAGACTGCTGTAACAGTCCCCATGGACTGGGTGGCTTATTTCTCACCATTCTGGAAGTTGGCAGTCTGAGGTCAGGGTGCAGCATGATTGGGTTTCAGGGTGGGCTCTTTTCCGCCTTGCAGACTTGGTTTCTCTGTGTCCTCACAGGGCAGAGAGAGGGCTAGAGAGCTCTTTTATAAAGACATTCACCCCTTTCACAGTTGCTCCACCCTAATCTTTCAAAGGCCCCACCTCTTTATGCCATCACATTAGGTGTTAGGAGGACAGAATATGAACTTCGGAGGATACAAGCATCCCATCCATAACTTGATTTTTCTTTTAGAATACTGAATTAATGATACAAGTTAGACATCCAGACAGAGATGCCAAGGGACAGTTAGAAATACAGTGTGGCTTTGTAGCTGTTGACCAGTATCCCCCTGACCCTCCCTCCCAGCCTCTTTTATTCTCTACTCCTAGGGGATTGGCTTCTGAGATCCTATGTGTGAGTGAGATCATGCAATATTTGTACTTTGGTGCCTGGCATCATACTGTACTCTATAAATTTGTACAATTATTATGAGTCAATTAAAGACAAAAATTTAAAAGTAACACCTAAAATGTTTCTCAAAAGAAAAGTGGATGCGGCTTTCTGAACAGAGAGCACATCCTGAGATAGGATATCCAGGAACCAACAACATTATGTTGATTTTGTCAACCAAGATGATCAGGGAAAATATCAAAAGGGAACAGAGGGAAAAAACAATAACAGCAATAGTGAATATTGCTGATAGCTTCCTATGTGTCTGGAAAAATTCTCAGTATTTCACATTAGCTCCTTTACTCTTCAGAACAACTCCATCATCCCACGTGACAAACATGAGGCCTAGGAAATGAGTTGCTCCAGGTCACAGGGCTGCTATGTGCAGAAAGCAGGCTGAATGCCCTTACAGCTGCCATACCTTGATGGGGACCAAGGAAGGAGGAACTGAGGGAAGGTGAGCACCCCAGGAGAAAGAGAGGTGGGAGAAAAGTGAGCTGAGCATGCCACAGGATGGATTTTGTTTTGTCATGTTGTTTCCTTCTGGAGTTCCCACATAGAGAGTAGCTCTGTCAAGAAAACTGAGGGTTGCAGATCGTGTCCCCTAGGAAGCAGGATTCAGAGAGTAGATTTAAGGGACACAGAGGAACTAGGGAGACAACTGAGGCTCCAATTGCCTTTGTCCGTTCCTCATGGAGGATTTGGGCAGAATGGTTTAGGAGAAGTGATGAGACCTAGTTGGTCATTGGACATATTTTTGATGATCAGCCCTATAGGATTTTTTGATGTAGCACAAATGCTGTGAACACACAGCTCTGGTGTAAAGCTTCAGGTTATTTCTTTTATACTCTTTGCAAATGTGGTACTCTGAGATACTGTCAGGATAAAAACCATGCTAGGGTTAAATTCTTCTTAGGAAAAAAAAAATTTGTAGGGGAATCATGTGGCCTGATTAAAGCCAATGTTTTGAACAAGTCCAAGAAAAAAATATTGCAAAAAGCATACCATAGAAAACCTGTGTTGCTTCTGAAGTGTTTTATACGCATATTTTATATTCACACACATAGTTACACTCAAGAACTCTTGACCTGTCTTTCCAAAAGATATACACAGTACTATGCAAAAACATAGTATTTTATAAAATACTTTCATTATGTTAATTAATGAGAGAGATGCAAAGTGGCCATCACTGAGGATGACCAGCAAACAGTTTTCAGCAGTGAAAACAACCCAAGAGCCAGGTTGCACTGTGGTCAACACTTTCTAAGTAGACGTTTATAAATTCTCAGCATCTGGAGATCCAGCACTTAGCCTGAAACAAACATGCATAATGGATGAGGCTTTCTTGCACCTCATGGCCTTTTAATAATGTAGAAATACCAAAATCCTAGCTACAGGTAAATGGTCTGTCAGACACACAGAGGAGAAAGTTCAGTCCATTAGCACCATCTCACACCCACCCTCAAGTTAGAACCTTGGGACTGATTACCTCAAAAAGGCCCTTCCATACCAAAATCCTGCCCTCTTAACACCCTGCCTGCCAACATTCCTTGCCAGGCTTTCTGCCATTATCCCACTTCTCTTACTACCCTTCCCCATTGGTACCACATCATCTCTGCCAGTCCCTCCTCTCCCTCCAGAGCCACCCCGATCCTGTCCCAGGCTCTCCCTAAATCAATATTCCTATTCAGCATGTTCAGGAATTGGTTTTGAGCTTTTGAAAAGACTCACTTCAAGTCCCATCCAAACAGTCTAAATATTGAAGTTTTTTCTTAAAGCTGTCTATGTTATTCTATTGTGCAGTCAAGATTATAAGCTATTATTATAAATTTTCATAATCTGTTTGGAACTTGTTCTGTTTGTCTTACTTTCTTGTTGCTGAAACTAAATGCTGGACACTTCAAGTGAAAGGAGAAAAAGTTTATTTAGCTCATAGTTTGTAGAGGCTTCAGTCCATAGTCAGCTGGCTCCAAGGAAAAATAGTTCATAGTGGGAAGAAGACAGTAGAGTGGTGAAGTAGTGAAGAAGCAGCAGCAGGCTTGCCTTCTTTCTGCCCCTTTATATCCACCCAGGCTACCTGCTCTTTAGATGGTGCCACCCACACCCAGGGAGGTCTTTCCCATTAACTGCACTCAGAACTATGCCAAACCAATCAGAGTACTAACTTAGTAATCACATACCCTTGATCTCAGCGTCACACCCTAGATCCAGCCACCTCTGTAAAGCCCCACTTATGAATGTGTGAGGCTTTCTGGGGACATCTAGGCACAAGCCATAACACTATAAAAGACAGTTTTTTTATACCCTCAAATCACTCATCTCTCCCAACAGCTATAGTGATGACCACTCCTCTAACTGAACACTAGAATAGGAGGAAAATTCTCATACTTCTCATATCCCATGATCACTGTGGGCTCTCTCCCTACATGGCTGGATATTTCACATGCTGCTCATTGCCTCTTTCAGTTCCTTGAGCACAGAGCTCTACACATCTCCATTCTCCATAGGAGAATCTGCCTATGTCTTCCTTTCCACCCACTTTGCTCCAGTCATTCTCTAAAATTCAGTACCCTCGCTTACATCACAGTTCCTTGACCCAAATGTATTCTAGTGGCATTCATCTCATCCCACATTGTCCACCATTCAGTACAGATGTGTTCTTGGTTTCCTCTTCAGTACAAGCTGCTTCATTGCCAAGATCTCCAGCTGTGACCACCTCCCCCCATTAATGACTACAGTCATCTGACCTCCCATCTCTGTCACACAAGGTTCAAGGAAGCTGTCCTGGATTCTTAAGGAGAAATCCCACAACCCTCCCTGATCCCCTGGTTTATAAACCTTCCTCTGCCCTTACCTATATCTCCAAGGAACTTACTTCTTCCATGAACTCTCCTGTCATCCTGAGCTGTAGCAGGCTTTATTAATTTCCTTAGCTCATGATGACCTCAAATGAACATGTTCTCTGCTTTCAGTTCCAGGCTATTGTTTTGCTATGAAAAAAACCCATACATTACTGATTGTGCCTGTAAGTCTCTCAAGAGCAATGCCTGCCCTGCCATGCACCCCCTGCTCTCTACAGCCCTTCCATTCACCACTACTGACTCATTATATTCCATACAGTAATTCTCCCAGGTCTCCCCTTCCCCCAGAGTCCCTCAGGCCCCCTTCTTACATAGCAGTAGCAGTAATCTCACCTGTGGATGGAAGCTCCCTCAACTTCAGTCCTTTACATCTCCCAACCTTGGGCTTTAGCCTCTTCTTACTTATTCTAAACTTTGGTATAAAAAGCTGTTTCCTTATTTGTACTTGAAACCCA